TATTACTTCAGATCATGATACCAAGTTCATCAGTCACTTTTGGAAGAGTTTGTGAGGACGGCTGGGGACACAACTGAATTTTAGCAGCGCCTATCACCCCCCAAACCGATGGTCAGACTGAAGTAGTAAATAGGACCATGACTCAATTGTTATGCACTGTGGTGAATAAGAATCCAAAGAGTTGGGAAAAGTGTCTACCGTTTATAGAGTTTGCGTATAACAGGGCCACGCATTCTACTACAATGTTTTCACCATTTGAAATTGTTTATGGTTTTAATCTACTAACACCTTTGGATTTAATACCTTTACATGTTCATGAACGTGGTAGTTTAGATGGAAAAAAAGAAGGCAGAAATGGTAAAAGCATTGCATGAGAATGTAAAGTTGCAAATTGAGCAGACGAATAAACACTATGCGTCCCAAGCAAAAAAGGGCGAAATAGTGTTACATTTGAACCTAATGATTGGGTTTGGTTACACTTGAGGAAGGAACGTTTTCTGGAACAATGAGAGTCCAAGTTGCAGCCACGGGGAGATGGTCCTTTTCAAGTCATTAAACGGATCAATGATAATGCTTACAATCTTTATCTTCCTGGTGAGTATAATGTGTCAGCTACTTTTAATGTATCTAATCTCTCTCTGTTTGATACATGTACATATTCGAGGATGAATCCTTTTGAAGAGTGAGGGGATGATGTGATACAGGATACTGTTGCGCGAAGACAAGTTTGGAGAAAGATCCACTAACAGTGGAAGTAGGACTGATGACTCGATTGAGGGCAAAGTGAGTGAAAGAGGCGATGGCATTGCTTTTTCAAACAACGACAGATGATGCGATGATTGTGACGAAGAATGGAGCAAGTTCTATGTTGGGGTCGAGGCTGGAATCGGAGTGGATGACCTTGATTCGAGCAATGGAACGAAATGGAGTCGAGGCAGATTTTCGCTAGAGTTTCACTAGAACGGCGCTCAAGTGGCCAAAACAAAGACTTTGTCGCCCAAGTTTTGCCCTACCGTCGCTCGAGCAATGATGTACCTCGCTTGATCGACCTTATTTCCGCAAATTTCCTTATTTTATTGAAATTCTATTTTTGCAATCTTTAAACAATTGTTTCCGAGTTTTACTAGGTTTCTAAGCTTTCCCTATAAATAGGATTTCATTATACATTGTAAGGACATTTTGACAAATTATTATTGAGATATATTCGAGAAGCTTTTGTGCTTTTCAACTTCGTTCTTCTTAGAACAATCTGAACTTATCAAGAGAATTCTTGTAGCATTCAACACGGGGCGCGGATCAACGTATTATGTAATCAAGAGGTCTTTCAAACACCATTTTTGCTAGGTTGCTTGGTTCACTAATTCTTGGTTCAAACTCAAAATCAGGATTATCTTTTGGGCTTTCTTGGG